CAATCCCTTCTCCTCCATTCTCCTCTCGGGATCTTGGGCACGCACGCACACGCGCCCGGCGTGAGTTTTAAGTCACCGGGTCCGGGACACGAACCGCGGTCGACTATGTGGGAGTCCAGCGACATAGCCATTACGCTAACTGCTGGTTCCCCCTTTTCTGCTTTCTAAGGAGAAACTATTTTGCTTCCAACCCAGATTTCAGGAAAACAGCAACAACGAAATCTTCCAGTATTTGCTACTGGATACACGGTTCATCTCGTTCTCTCCGTCTCCTCCACAGTGGTGGGAGTTACCCCGCCATGCAGCAGAGCCCAGTGCACTGCCTGAGACAGAGCGTGCTCGATGGGCCTCTGCTCAAGGCCTCCCACACCCAGAACCGCGACTGCGCATCGCACTGTTCTGGTGGGAGCAGTTCCTCATGGGATGCTGGACCGGGGCCTTGGCTTCTCGCTGGTCGTGGTCAGAAGCCGCCCTCAGCTCCTGGTCCTGTGGGTCCCTCCCCTGGGCACTCACAGCACAAGTGCAGCTCTGTCAGGGCAGCCTGGGAGGAGAGCCAGAGTGAGAGACAGAGAGGGAGAGCGTGCGAGGGTGAGCTGGCAAGACAGAGGAGCCTGCCTTTGCCTCCCAGCCTGGGGAGTGGCAGCTGTCACTCTGCCCATTCTGCTTTCTAGGAGTAGGTCACCAGGCCAGCCACACACGAGGTGGGCATGACGCGAAGGTGTGGTGTCCGGAGCTGCCTGTCCTGGTCACCATGGCCCTTGCTTTTTGTTTCTCAGCACCTAGTAGAAAACGCGTCTCTGTTTTCAAGGGTGATGAACATATGATTCGAATTGCACGGGAAATTGCAGTTGGGGCTGCAGGTGAGAGGGAGCTGTGGCCTGGCTGCCCTGTTTTGGGATGTCTTTTTTATTTTTTATTTTTTTTGAGAGGTTTTTGCTATAGGGCACGTGCGCTCGCCAGACAGAGAGAGAGAGAGACAGAAAGCGAGAAATCACCCCCCAGGGGGGATGGCCACGCTGCAAACCCTTCTCCTCCATTTTCCTCTCGGGATCTTGGGCACAAATGCACACACGTGCCCAGTGTGAGTTTTAAGCCACCTGGTCTGGGACGCGAACCGCTGCCGACTATGTGGGAGTCCAGCGACATAGCCATTACGCTAACTGCTGGTCCCTTGGGATGTCTTTTGAGGATGTCTGTCTGTGAGCTGCCTTGGGAGATTGCAGACTTCCTCCTCGCCTCCGCCCACTGGAAAACAGGGCCGGTTTGCTCCGAGCCTTGAAGATAGAGGTAGTGTCTTGTTCTTGCCCTGTCCAGGGGGAAAAAGATGTCTCCTTCTGAAGGGGGGCAGCCTGCCGACCACTGCCACAGCAGATTTGGGTCCCCTGGGGTCGGGGTCCTCCTGTCACTGACTTGGCGTGTGCAGGTCTTGCCAGCATGAGCCCCACAGGGGTTGGCACTGGGGATGCTGGTGCAGAAGTACCACTACTCCAGCTGCTGCTTCGGCCAAGAGTAACAAATCCTCGGTCCCTGACCTGGGAGTCTTGTGTCTTTTGCCATTAACTACAGATGGGTAACTTGTCAGGAGTTAACCTGGCTCACAGTTCTGCAGGGTGGAAGTCCAGCGGCATGGTGCTGGCACCTGGTGAGTCTCCACGGCAGCAGACCCCAGGTGGCGAGCAAGCACATGTGGGCATGACAGGGAAGGCCAGGCTAAACCCACCTTTCCTCAGGAGCCCACTCTACGACAGCTAGCCCAGCCCCACGATGGCAACCTTACTCCGCTCAGAAGGCAGGGCCCTCATGGCCTCATCACCTCTTAAGAGCCTCCCTTCTTAATATACCTGCGATGGGGAGTAAGTTACCGACAGATGAAATTTAGGACACACGTTCAAGCTGTAGTGGCCCGCATCCGTAAAACTGGGGCAGGCTGGCATGCTGGCATGCTGGCATGCTGACTTGTAAGTAGGGCAAACCCTCAGACCGTCACCGTTCCTGACTGGCAGACCCCGCAGTTCCTGTGGATTTAATTACGATCTCATTGGAAGGCCACAGCGAACGAGTTTTTTCAGGCATCTAAGATGTCCCCGGTTCGGCAGGAGAGGAACTCTGTCCTCACGGAGCGGAAGGCAGAGCCAAGGGGGTGAGGAATGGAGGGCCGCCTCCTGCTGGTGGAGCTAGGCAGAGCTGCAGGTGTTCAGCTCCACCTGCCTGCAGTAAGGAGCCTGACTCCCTCTGCAGTGCTTCCAGGTTCTGCACCCGTAATCCGTCCGTCTGTCTGTCCACCGCTGTGTCTCCACTGCGTCCGACCCCCTGGGAGCTGCAGTTTTCAGGGTGGCAGCTCCACCCACATCTGGAGTGTCACTTTAGGAACTGGGGAAACCACATGGGAGCCTGTCACTGAGCAGGTCACCTCAGCGCTCCACAAGTCCTCAGCAGCCCTGCTCCCAGCCCAACACGAGCCCCGTTTGTGGTCTGTTTGAGGAAGCAGAGCCTCCCCTCGCCCCTCACCTCTCGCCCCTAACACTGAGCATTAGGCTACTCAGGACAGCGTCCAGATGCCGGGACCTGATAGGCTGGGGTCACTGGGCCATCACACAGGGACATGTTCCACACGGTGTGCTCACGTGCAGCACCAGGAGCAGCGTCCTTCTTGTCCCCATTTCCCTGTTTGCCTCTGCTGAAGGCTAGTCTCTCTAGGCCGTTAAAAAACATGCATATGCAAAGATAAGCATAATTCTATTCCTCCCGTAGGCACCTCAACAGGGCCTCATCATGCCCTCAACCCCTCTCCCCTGCCCTCCAGCTTCTCTGGATCCTGGACACATATGCCGGGCGTTTCAGGCTGACCCGGGATTTGAACCTATGCGGGGCCATGTGGCTTCCGGTTTGGCAGGGCACTGGTGCTGTCAGTCACATCAGCCACAGCCGGGGATGGCCGGTGTGCAATCTCTCGCCCTCGCCTTGTTCTTCGGTGACACCTCTCAGGGATCCTCCCAGCCAACTGCACTGTTTGTTCCCTGTGCACGGCTTTGTGGGAGCACACGGACCCCCTCCTCGGAATAACGGTTTAGTTTCTGCAGGTTTGCAGGCTCACCGAGCCAGCTGCTGTCAGCCCCCTGGGCCCCGCCTGCCGTGCACACGTGAGACGTGGCCTGTAGGACGGGGTAGCCTGGGCAGCAGCGTTGCCGCCTTTGCAATCTCGACCTGCTTCGCTGTACTTGGACGCTAGTTAGGTGCAGCTGAGGAGGGAGCGCACTGACGTGGAGGGTGCAGGGGTGGGCCGTCCATGGAGGAGCAGGGCCTGGGGCCGCCCGCCTGCCAGCCTCACCACTTGCCTGTTTAGGATGTTTTGTGTCCCAGAGCCGTAAGCAGAAAGAGCGGGGGCTAGAGAGAGGCCTCCCCGTCTCCTCCCTGATAGGCCGAGCACCTTCTCCCGGCCGTCCTCCAGTCTCCCCACCTGTCCCTGAGCACCCATGCCTACCTACCCCGCAGGGCCACCCTGGGAGGACAGTGCAGCGAGGTGCTGGCTGCCTCCATGTGAGGCCACCTCTGCCTGCCCTGACCCAGGCACCGACTGTCTGGAAGCCACTCTGCCGCCATGTCCCCCGGTCGTGAGACTCTGCAGTCAGGTGTACCCCCTTAGAGCGCAGGGCCTTCTCTGTAGATGCCAGTCTGTGACCTGCAGGCCGAGAAGCCTGCTCACCTGCCCTCACCTCTAGCAGAGCCCGCAGGGTCTTCTGGAAGTATGTTCTCGGGGCTTCTGCTGTCTCTTCTCCCTTCCCTGCTGTGACACCAACCAACTGCCCTCTGGAAGCCACCGTCAGCTCACAGCTACCCACTCTGCTGGCCCGAGACCCGGTCCGGCCCCCAGCTGGGCACGCCTTACCACTGTGACCCTGACTGAGGTGCCCACCTCGGACCTGGGTCTTCACCCGGGGAGCTCACGAAGGTCGTGCCTGCCACTGGGGCCCCGTGAGGGTGGGAGACGATGCCAGCAGTGTGCCTGACACCACTGAGCACTGGGCACTGAGCACCGTCGGGGGGAGCCCGGGAAGGGCGTGCAGTAACCCCTCGGGTCATGCTTTCCCAGCCGCTCGCTCAGTGCCACTTGGGACGTTGTCCGAGCTTGCTGTCATGAGCACCACGCTACCCATTCTGCGGTCATGTCGTGACCAGCCATGGACCCTGCGTCTGTCTGTCTACCCGGACACGCCTGAATTTAGCGCCACATTCATAGTGACCACAGTTGAAAGGGAGGGGACCCACCATGGTGGCATGAGTCAGAAAGGGCCGAAACGCTTCCTGGAGGAGGGGGAGTTCTCTGGGTTCTGGGATAGCTTAGGGATTAAAATGGGCCGGAGCAGCTGAGCCCCTTCCTGCTG